ATTTCCTCAAATGAGCTTTAGTGATACACTGCTGTGAAACCTACAATGAGGTGGACCCTTCATCCTACATCCCTGCTTGTGGGGCAGAAATTTGCTTAACATATGTACCCAGTTCTTCTTAAGTTTGGCATGGCAAGCAAAGGGCAGGATCCGCAGTCAGAGAAAAATATTCAGAATTGTTAATAGTACAAGTCTCATAGTTACTTCTTAAAATAAATACAGGTAAGCAATTCAAAGTGGCAACAAAAGGAAAATGTGTTCCAAGATAAAGCAAAAGTCACAGAGTTTAGGTAATCATGAGCTTTAGTCTTGAACCTTTAAAAGTCATGATATTCAATTTGGGGAGGAAGACATCTTGGATTCAGGTTCAAGCAGCAGGTGAGCTGTTTTCACTCTGGTTGGGAAAGGGGCAGTACCTGTGAAATGTATGGAACCTAAGTATTTGTAAGATGAGAATGTATTGGAGGGGAGGAATGGGACATTTAAGGGAGCTACTTTTCTCTCTGAGGTGCCAGTCTATAAAGTTTTGGGTGTTTGGAGACCTTCTAAATGCTGCAAGTGCCCACAGAACACAATCCTTTTTGCCCATGTTTGAAGGGAATACACTTTGGCATATGCTAATGGAATATGCTGTGGTTTTCAGTTTGCCGGTAGGAGAGTACAAAATGTGGTTTGCGTGACCCACTGGTTTCTGCCTGATCTAAAATTTATCCAACCCCATGACATAGGCAGAAGCAAGGACAATGCATGTCTGCTTCCTTGTCAGCATTCTGAAGACCTTGTCTTGTCCTTGCTGTTGGCCTGGGGTAGGTAGAGGCCTCTGCTTCTCATTTGCAGTTGCAGTTTTTTCTCCCCTGTTTTTACTACAGTGGTTCCCAGTCTGTGGTCTGTGAACCACTGGTGGTCTGGGGAGAGCTGTTTATTACTTATTACTTGTATTACCATAGCACCTAAGTCATGGACCAGGACTCTGCCGCACAAACAACAAAAAGACAGCCTCTAGACCAAGGAGCTTACAGTCTAAGATGAGCCAACAGATGGATACAGAGAGATCGGAGATATAAGGAAACGATGAGACAGTATTGGTCAGCATGATAGGAAGTGGTCTCAACCCACCAACAGCTGAATCATTGTCAAGCTTTTTGTAGGCATCACTGCAAAGGAGAGTTTTAAGAAGGGATTTAAAGGAGGATAATACATAAATGTTTTGTAGATGTTTATAGTGAGTCCCTCCAAAGCATGTGGGGCAGCCTGGGAGCCTGTTTGCAAATTTAACAAATGGGAGATGGAGGTTGGTCTCATGTGCCAATTGGAAGCAAAAGTTGACATCCTGATTCTAAACAAAAGACGATAGATAGGGGGAGGACAGGCCATAAAGGGGCTTGAAAGTGAAGACAAGTAGTTATGTCTGATGTGATAGAGAAGGGATGTAAAGAGAGGGTGACATGGACAAAGTGATGGGCTAGGAAAATAATCTTTGTGACAGCATTCTGAATAGATAGGAGCATGGAAAGTAGCATTTGTGAAAGCCAAAGAGAAGGATGTTACAGTAGTTGAGATGATAAAAGCCTGGATGAGAGTTTTAGCTGCGTAGAAGGATGTATTTTAGGGCTGGTTTACACTACCGTTTAAGTCAATGTAACTTACGTTGCTCAGGGGTGTGAAAAAGACACCCCCCGAGCGATGCAAGTTACATTGACTTAAGCACTGTCCACACCGGCGTTACATTGGTGCGAGACACTCTCCCGCCAGCATAGCTTCCGTCTCTTGCGGAGGTGGAGTAATTATTCTGACTGGAGAGCATTCTCCTCTCAACAGAGTGCGTCTTCACCAGATGCGCTGCAGCAGCATCAGTGCAGCTACGCCGATGTAGCGCTCTAGCGTAGACTTGTCCTTTGAGACGTTATGCAGAAAGAATCTGCAAGACTATCTTGGATGTGGTGACCTAGAGAGAGGGCTGAGTCAAAGATGGGCATACCAGGCGGGATGGCAGAGTGTTGTCCACTGTGATTGACATGCAACTGACTCGCCTTGTCTTCATCTACTAAATCATAATGAAAGTTAAAAGATGTTACATTTACATGTAAGCAAGTGTAATTGCTGTAGGGATGTTGTACAATCAGAGGCAAAATGGATGGTGTATTTGCAAATGGGAGGGGCTATGATCCATGAGACATTCTATTAAGATGCGGACCATACTATGAACAAAAATTGGTGACTGTTTTACTCTTAACACTGGCTTCATTAGTTGGTTCTTACTGATTTGCAGGGTTTTGTTGTTGTTCCGCTAAGTGGCATTTTGTGTGGTGGTATTGAAACAGAATCTATGGCCGCGGGAAACTGGCAAAACACCCCAGCACGACATAATTTTCCTCTGGAGCATCTGAGATGGATTACATTGTTTTGCTGACTCTATGTTGCTGTATTTGAAAGGCAAGGTCTCCCTTTGGGAGGTTTAACAAATAGAAGTTATTGCAACCTATATTAGGATGAATTATATATATGTTGGCTCAGAACTTGTCACAACTTGTGGAATCATAAAACTGTAGGACTGGAAGGGACCTTCAGAGAATTGTAGGACTAGAAGGGACCTTGAAAGATCTTCTAATCCGGCACCCTGACCTGCTCTTAAAAATCTCCAATGATGGAGATTCCACAACCTTCCTATTCCAATTTATTCCAGTGTTAACTATCCTGACAGGAAGTTTTTCCTAATGTCTAACCTAAACCTCCCTTGCTTCATTTTAAGCCCATTGCTTCTTGTCCTATCCTTAGAAGTTAACTAGTACAATTTTTCTCCTCCTCCTTGTAACAACCTTTTATGTACTTGAAAACTTATGCCCACACACACTCAGTTTTCTCTTCTCCAGACTAAACCACCCCATTTTTTTTCAATCTTCCCTCCTATGTCGTTTTCTAGACCTTTAATTTTTGTTGCTCTTCTCTGGACTTTCTCCAATTTGTCCACATCTTTCCTGAAATGTGGCACCCAAAAGTGGACAAAATACTCCAGTTGAGGTGGAATCAGTGTGGAGTAGAGCAGAATTGCTTCTCGTGTCATGCTTACAACACTCCAGTTAATACAGCCCAGAATGTTTGATTTTTTTACAATAGTGTTATACTGTTGACTCACATTTAGCTTGTGATCCACTAGGACTCCCAGATCCCTTTCTGCAGTACTCCTTCCTAGGCATCATTTCCCATTTTGTGTGTGCACACCTGACTCTTCCTTCCTAGTGGAGGAGTACTTTGCACTTGTCATTATTGAATTTCATCCTATTTTCTTCAGACTATTTCTCCAATTTGTCTAGATCATTTTGAATTTTAATCCTATCCTCCAAAGCATTTATAACGCCTAACAGCTTGGTATAGTCCACAACCTTTATAAGTGTACTTTCTATAGCATTATCTAAATCATTGATGAAGATATTGAACAGAACTGGACCCAGAACTGATCCTTGCAGGACCCCATGTGATACACCCTTCCATCTTGACTGTGAATCACTGATAACTACTCTCTGGGAACAGTTTTCCAACCAGTTATGCACCGCCTTATAGTGGCTCCATCTAGGTTTTATTTGCCTAGTTTGTTTATAAGAAGGTCTTGCGAGACAGTATCAAAAGCCTTACTGAAGTCAAGATGTACCACATCTACTGCTTCCTCCACATCCACATGGCTTGTTACCCTGTCAAAGAAAGATATTACGTTGGTTTGACATTTGTTCTGGACACATCCATACTGAGTTACTTATCACCTTATCTTCTAGATGTTTGCAAATTGATTGCTTAATTATTTGCACCATTATCTTTCCAGGTTCTGAAGTTAAGCTGACTGGTCTGTAATTCCCCAAGTTGGCCTTATTCCCCTTTTTATATAGTGGCATTATATTTGCCCTTTTCCAGTCCTCTGGAATCTCTTCCATCATCCATGACTTTTCGAGGATAATTGCTAAAGGCTCAGATATCTCCTCAGTCAGCTCCTTAAGTATTCTAGGATGTATTTCATCAGACCCTGGTGACTTGAAGACAGCTAACTTGCTAAGTAATTTTTAACTTAGCCCTATTTGGTCTTGGTGTGCTGGTTGGATCCATTTCTTAACCCAAACCTAGGCACAGGTTCAAGAGCAATAGGACTGTAAGGTGTGTTATATCAGACAAATGGGGCATGCTGTCTGGCACAGATTGAAGGCATCTCTCTGAAAGGAAACAGACCCCACTCTGCCCCCCAACATTTCATGTGACCACACAGACACATGCTGCTGCTCCTAGCCCACCCTGATGCTTAATAATCATTGCTTAGTTGGGTGAAAAAGACTACAAAGGCTTACTCTCCCCCATAAGAACTTGAGCTTTGGTGGACAGTAAACTCTCTCAGGAATTACAGCCCTTTACTTAAACCAAACAGATCTGGTTTGGGTGTTTAGTTGCTTATTGCACAGCTGCAGCATCCACTGTTAGCTTCAAATTGATTGTGTTTAAAACAATACAGTATGTTTTTCCAGCACTTAAAAGGAGAGAGAATAGCCTTTTTAACAGGAGCCCCTGGAGTCAATGAATACTGGCCTCCTGTATCTCTGACTCAGGTGACTGGGGCAGGAAATAAAGATTTAGCAACACTCCTGGATGTCACACCTTTATTCTACTCCAGCCCTTTCTTGTTCAGAGAGCTCAGGTGTCCTGATCCTGCAGACTTTTAATGATTAGTCCCATTGACATCAGTGACAGCTCACGGACTGAACATGGCAAAGTGAGTCCCTTTCTTTTTCATCCCCACTAGAGAAGATCTTCCAGTGCAGAATGAATTATTTCTTTAACAATCAACTGCTGAAAACACCTGTTACTAAACCAGCAGCAAAAGGAAGGAGTGTAGGGAAGGCAAATTCTACTCATAGAAGTGAGTGCTTTAGAGTTTGGATCAGGGAACAATGGAGAGAAATTTGAGAACAGCTTTCACATTTCTCTGAATCCATAAAGCTCTTATCAAAAGAAATAAGCACCTACCGTGTTTAAGCAATTTTTATTTAAGTATTTAGAGGGAAACTTCCATATCATAAGTAAAAATACTAGAGTTGAACCTTGTGTACAAAAAAAAAGTCACGGTGATGGGCTCTCTGTGCTGGACCACAGTAGTTTATCGTGGAAAGGGGAAGTGAGGGTATCTGCAACACACTCTCTTCCAAATTAAAAAAATAAATGCTAATTAACTGCAGTACATTTCATCATTTTTATACAGTCAAGAGAATGAAAACAAAAAGCAATCTAAAAAAATGCAACCTACAATGGAATAAAGTTATTCGGGCAGGAGAGGCAGAATAAGACTGTTTTTACGAAAGTTACAAAGAAACATGATACAACCAAAAAAAGGGGATGGGGGAATTCTCACTAAGATTAAAAACAAAATATATTCACTTGAACACCCTATTACTCAAACACAGAGGAAGTTTCAACCTAGTTTTTTTTTCTTATACACGGGAAACACTGTTAAAGTGCTTCTTCAAGAGTCAGAAGGCACCACTGACAGTTGCCTGATACCTTGAATGCACTGAGGAAATTGTCTGGCATGATGCAAACAGTAATTGTTTATGTATCTTTATACAACTTCTCTTTTAAAAAAAGCAGCAACAAGTCATTACTTCAGTGCCAAAATTTACTTCTGTTTGGTTGATTCATTCATCCAGATGAATTTCTCCCTTAGAGCTGTGTGTGGCTTTTTATACACTGTACAAAGTGGGGCAATTCTGCAGTATAGCATTTTAGATTAGACTGGTAATCAGACTGTTTTCTAAGTTTTGAGCAGCCGATCCTGTTAAATACTCCTAAATTCTAGACAAATGGAATAATTAAATGCACTATCTTGAATGGAATACTCATCTGTGCGATGTAGAAATGGACTAGATTCCACAGAATTCAATTTGATACATAATGTCTTGTAGCAGATGTTATAACAAAATAACTTGCTTTTTGAACTACCTCACTGAGGCCATTAATGCTGTTCCTATAGTTGATTTTCTGGAGTAGGATGACACTTCATTGCTGTCCAAAGTGAGTTTGAACCTTTAACTCTCCAGAGTTTGTTCACTTTGTTGCTTATATTATTGCACTAGCTACTAAAGTCTTTATAGCTTCCTAAATAAATCTAATTGTTCAGAGTGCAGATTCTATATTTAGATAATGAACTGTATGAAATAAATAAAATAAGGGGATTTTTCTGGTCAGAGTTGCTGATATGTTGAATATCTTAATTATTTCTAATGTAAACCATTTTGGTGCGTATTCTTAAAAACCTAGTCATTCAGCATAAAAGTTTGACTTAAACAAATCCATTCTTAAATGTTTTCTTCTCAAAAATGCATCAGAGAATTGTTTTAAATACAGAATCTGTGAGGCTTCTGACAAATTCATGTAAATTGTAGTACAAACATAGTTTGTAATTCAGATAATATAGACAGTTTTCTAGTGTCCATTGAAGTAAGGTCCCCAAAATGTAGTCTGTTTTGTTTCTGAATGGGAAAAAAGGCAAAACATTAAGCTGTTCCACTGGCTGAATAGGAGAACTGAGGAAAATGAGGTCTTCTCTCATTATCTACACAATCCATACTGTCATCTGCAAAGAGAAAAATAAATTTTACATACACTGAATAATGCCACCTACATTTTGATTTTAAACAGAGTAGAGATTAATGATTTTCATGTCTTGGAACAAATGCATTGTAGCTTCCCCCCTACACTCCAAACTAAAAATATAGCTAAAGCTAGTAACAGAAAGGCATCAAACTTAAGACCTGCCTTGACTCTCTTTATTTAATGTAAGTCACAGAAGAAGTTAATTTTCAGCACAGAATTGTAGCTGTGTTGGTGTCCATTTAACACTGCTGGAAGTTGTATGGCTGAATCCATATTCACTGTACTGAATTTTCACCCCTCTGGGTCTAGTGGTACAAAGTGAATGCTACGTTACCATGGAAATAAGAGTATACTTAAAATAAAAAAGCACATTAGCCATTATGCAACAAGTGTTTGTTAATATACATGATGTGTGTGCATATGCATTTCTAAGCTTATGCATATTGCTGGTTGGAAATTTTCCAACGGAATGTTTTTCTGTTGGAAAATGCCAATTCGTTAAAAATGAAATGTTTTGTGGAAGCTTGTCAATTTGAACATTATTTTGCTTGGAAAAGAGCCAATGCAAAGTGTTCTGACATTTTCAGAATGAAGCATTTTGCTTTATTATTTTGAAACAACTTTTTAAAATTTTATTTTATATCAATTTTTGTAAAATGTCAAAATTAGAACGAAACTTTCTGATTTTACAAAACTAAACATTTCAACTGACCTGAAATAATTTTTTTTTTCAGAATTTCATTTTGTAAGATATTTCATATATTTTCTTTTAGTTCCATTTCAGAACAGAAACCAGATTTTGAATGGTCAGAACTCCCCACGACAAAAAATCCAGCTTCTACTCAGTTCTGTTTATGACGTTGTACGCCTGTGAAAGGCACTAGACTGGAATTCTCTAGTTAGCTATGGAGTGGGTACACACTTCCCCAAAACACTAGACTGGAGAGACCACCAGTAGGGGTTGAGAGGGCAATTCAGTTTCTATGCCCAGTCAATAGTTTTTGGCATTTACGAGGACAGGGACTCAGACCACCAGATCAAATCACATAGCTCACTGAGCAGCCACTGGATAACAACTTTCTGGTACTATCAATTAGAGATGGGCCCAGGTGCAAAATTCAATTCCAGATTTGTAAACATCCCAAAGCTGGAGCTAGGATTTTGGTATGGACCCATCATTGCCGCCATCCCAGATTTGAATAGGCAAATTAACAGTGAAAAGCTCCATATCGGTTTACTAACACCATGATCAAGTATAATCATACAGTTTAATTACTGTATATGAAGAAACCCAGATGAATCTGAACAGACATTTCTTTGATCTTTTCTATAAGGCCAGATAACGCTACTGAATATTATCTTGGGGTGGGTCTAAAAGGAAAGTGAGAAATATTTAGAAAACTTTACCTTGGTCAGGTGGAGTGATTGTAATCATCTGTGCTGTAAATTCTTCATCAAAATACCTTGTGTCTGTTTCAGATGTAACTTGTGGTTTAAATGGAGGTATAAGCTGAAAGACGCAAAAATACTTCAAGCTTATAGTTTATTGAAATACATTCTTTATAGGTTGGCTTTGAATTTCAGCTATAAACCACAGTGACTTTTCCTATACTGCTAGTAAAATCCTGGCTCATAGGAAACACACAAATACAATACAAAACGTGCATTTGCTGTTTATGGGATGTGAAAGGCTTTGTTTCTAAATCGTGTTTGCAGTAGAAAGAGTTGTGAGCCGTTGATGCTACTTCAAGCAATAAATAAATAGCTGATATTTACAGTTAAGAAATTAATAGTCTGTTTTTAAAAAATAATACACAAACTATAGGCCTTATCCCCTCTGCTTTAGGCCTGGGAGAGGGGCAAAAGGAGCGGAAAGCCTGCCTAATTGCCCAAAATTGTTCAGGGGGAGGGGAGCTGTACTTCAGTGGCATCACAGCTCCCTCGTATCCCATGGAAACAACTTGATATAAACTCTGCACTTCTGGAGCTCTGAAGGTTTAAGGGAAACTGGCATGGTCAGTGGAGAGCTTCTTACATTGCATCCTTCTCTGGCTAAACCATGAGTAGCACTAATAAGACCCTACGCTGTGCTGTTAAACTCTCTTGGATGTGAGGGGTAGAAGTCAGCCCCATGTAAGCAGGGAGTCTGGCAGCAGGACTCTAAGTAAACTGAGCTTCTTGAGTGGGGTGGGAGAGGAGGGAGCGTGGGAAGTAGCACATCCACCATGCTGGTCGTATGCAGATGCAGCGTTCCAAAGGATTTTGTAACATGCAGTTTTGGAAGGCAATGTATCTGGTAGGCAAACCTTGTTCTGTTTCCCACTGCATGATACAGCAGAAACTTAGTGTGAAGTCACATTCTGTAGCCCTTCCACAGAGGACATGATGTTGGGCATCAATTCACCCACCACTGGGGATAAATCTGGCAGTCGTAATAGCAACTACACCACACTAGGCAACACAACAATTGGGGAATGGGATCAAGAAAGCATACTGTATCCCACTGAAACTGCAGGGAAAAGGTTAGCTAGGCAGCACATTAAATCACTCAGGCCTGGTCTACAATTAAAAGATAGATCTACATAGCTATGGTGCTCAGAGGCATGAAAAATCCACACCGTGAGCGCTGCAGCTATGCTGACCTAGTCACTGGTGTAGGCACAACAAGGTCAAACAACATAAGGACGGCCGCACTGGGCGAGACCAACGGTCCATCTAGCAGAGTATCCTGTCTTCCGACAGTGGCCAATGTCAGGTGCTTCATAGGGAATCCACAGAACAGGCAATCATCAAAAGATCCATCTCCTGTCGTCCAGTCCCAGCATCTGGCAATCAGAGGCTTAGGGACACCTAGAGCATGGGGTTGTATCCCTGACCATCTTGGCTAATAGCCTTTCATGGACTTATCCTCCATCAATTTGTCTAATTCTTTTTTGAACTCAATTATAATTATGGCTTTCACAACCTCCTCTAGCAATGAGTTCCACAGGTAGACTCTGAGTTATGCAAAGTGCTACTTCCTTTTGTTTGTTTTAAACCTGCTGCCTATTAATTTCATTGGGTGACCCCTGGCTACTGTGTTACATGAAAGGGGAAATAACACTTCCTTAGTTGCTACTGCAATACATACAATAAATAATATTTTTAGGCCCCTTTAATTTTATTTCAGATTAGATTTAAAATTAAAGACAAAAATATGATCCACAGAGACAGAATCTGGTGATACTTCAAAGAAAAAACCTGAGAGGTTTAGAACCTACAATTCAACATTATGGGAAGTGAAAATACAACTGTTTTAAAAATGGCCCTTATTATAAATACCTAATACAGTTACAAGGTGCAAACAATATACATATTTTAAGCCTAAATTTTAAAAACTAACTAGTCATTTTGGGTGCCCAATGATACCTTGAAGGAGTCTGAGGATCAGACAAGTACTTAGCAGTTTCAGAAATTCAGGCCCCTTTAAGAGGTCTCAATCATAGGACTGGAAGGGACCTTGAGAGATCATCTAGTCCAGTCCCCTGCACTCATGGCAGGACTAAGTATTATCTACCATTCCTGACAGGTGCTTGTCTAACCTGCTCTTAAAAATCTTCAATGATGGAGATTCCACAACCTCCCCAGGCAATTTATTCCAGTGCATAACCACCCTGGCAGGAAGTTTTTCCTAATGTGCAACCTAAACCTCCCTTGCTGCAATTTAAGCCCATTGCTTCTTGTCCTATCCTCAGAGGTTAAGAAGAAGAATTTTTCTCCCTCCTCCTTGTAACAACCTTTTATATACTTGAAAACTGTTATGTCCCCTCTCAGTCTTCTCTTCTCCAGACTAAACAAACCCAATTTTTTCAATCTTCCCTCATAGGTCATGCTTTCTAGACCTTTAATCATTTTTGTTGCTCTTCTCTGGACTTTCTCCAATTTGTCGGCATCTTTCCTGAGATGTGATGCCCAGAACTGAACACAATACTCCAGCTTTTAATAGATTGGCACTATATTTGCCCTTTTCCAGTCATCTGGAATCTCTCCCATCTTCCATGACTTTTCAAAGATAATCGCTAATGGCTCAGATATCAATGTTAAGTACCCCAAATTATTAGACACTATTGAAAATGTAGGCTTTATAGTCTATATGTTATTAGAGGTACAGTACAATAGAAGGGAGCTCCATTTCATAAGATAATCCTATTCTCAAGTGATTCCAATCAGTATATTTTTTTGTGAGGATAAGCATCCTTTCTCTCCAATACTGAACCCCCAATATTCTGATCATCCATAAGGCAGTTTCTCCTCCGTCTAAGCAATAGCTTGGCCCTTCCTGCGTGTTCGTTCTATCCATAACCCATTTAGCTAATGGTGGTTTTGGCACGCGTGCTGCTCCCAGTCACTCTCGAAATTGTCTGCGGCACTGAGCCTCAGAATGCGTGCGTGATTAAGGGCTCGGGCACTGCAGCAGAAACCTAAAGTCTATGCTAGCGAATGACTGGGAACCGCAGAAGGAAACAGAAAACAAGTATAAGAGGTGTTCTAGATTATTTTTTACAAAATATTTGTAAAATACAATCTAAGGCAGGGTGAGCTGCACCTACAAAATGAGGGAAATATTTTTGTATATGGTCAGATTTGGATTATTGAACTGGGAGGGGAAGTGGGAGACTGTAGCAAGAAGCTGTGAGGTTAGTTTTATTAAGTGGATTTGTCATGAACAGCTCTCACTGCAGTATCTCAGCAGTCTATGGTTGAGAGGTGCCACTTGTAGCGTAATGCTGCTGCATGCCAGCATGAGATACGTGGACTTAAGTTGCTTACTAGCCAAGAGAAACTGGTGAGAAGATGCAATTAAAATATCAACGTTTACATAGAGTTTGTGGAAGGATGAAGTATTGCCCAGTTAAAATGCAGCCTTCTCCAAGGACAAATGGCAAAGATTTTCAGCAGGGATATTCTGATAAAGATTTTAAATTTCTGTGACTAGACAAACTCAGTCACGCCAAACTCCCTGTTGTTCCAAGCAAGGTCGTGTCTCCCAGGCTCAATTACACAGAAAATGTCCTTGTTCATACAAAACCTCAATTATGTAAACTTATTCAACATTTCCCAATGGTACTGGGGAATCATGTCTGTCCCAGAGATTCATGTAGACTAACAGAATATCACCCCATAGTGAGTGAAATATGCTATCACTTTCAGAAGGCCCTCCAGGCCACTTAAACCTGTCTCTTTGGCCTGTGCAGAGTGGGTATTTCTACAGTAGATAATGTCTTAGGCTAGGTCTACACTACCCGCCTGAATCGGCGGGTAGAAATCGATCTCTCGGGGATCGAATTATCGTGTCTCGTCGGGACGCGATAATCGATCCCCGAATCGACGCTCTTACTCCACCAGCGGAGGTGGGAGTAAGCACCGTCGACGGGGAGCCACGGAGGTTGATTTTGCCGCCGTCCTCACAGCGGGGCAAGTCGGCTCCGATAGGTTGAATTCAGCTACGCTATTCACGTAGCTGAATTTGCGTATCTTAAATCGACTCCCCCCCCCCGTAGTGAAGACCTGCCATTAGATCCAATTTCTGATTTGCCTGCTTTCTAGAAATGGGCCAAAGAGGTTGGGTTTTGGTTTTGCAAAGACTATGTCAGATGTAGTCTTGATCCAGGCACTATTTTCTCCAAGGCAGCAAATGTCTGGAGGGACTGGGGAAAAAATATCGACGTTTTTGGCCCATCACCACTCTCTATAAGCTTCATGAAGATCATATTAAAAACAATATTCTTTACACTGAACTGTGTAAACTCAGCAGTCAGAATGCTGGCATGCAGAAGTCCAAGACCTGATAAATTTACTGCAGACACTCTACATGTGGCAGTCTCCTTTGATAGCTGTTCTTAAAAGGGATATTGTCAAGGCTAGTAGACCTAAAATCAGACCTTCCAGACAGCTCTTTCTTTCCTGGCAGATGCACAAAAGGCAAATAAATGACTTGCTATCCCTCCAATTTGTTTGGCTGCCTTAGTCTGGTGAGCAGACAGGGTATGGAATATACACAACTCCTATTCTCTCAAGAATTGAGATACTTGTAAATTTCAGAACTCTGCTTTCTGACAAGAATAGGGCAGGCAGAATGAGAGGCGCCCAGTAAAACATGCATGTGTGATCATGAATTAATACAGTTCTAGGCTGTATTAATTCTGCTTTTTACAGATCCAGACTAACATGGCTACCCCCTGATACAGTTCTAGGGTTTGTTTTCCACTTGCCCAGCAGAAGAGTTCGAGTTCTGTCAGCTACAAGCCATTCTTTAGGGGAAATGACAGATTTTCCAGGAGCAGAAGGGCAGAGCTATATTGTAAGTATTAAAAAGTGTATATTTACAACAGGTTAAAATTTTAGCCTGGCAACCTGGACGGCGTCCTTTAAAAGGATCAATGTATGCTGAATGATGCATAGGTATTCAAGTGTGGCGCGTACAATGCTGAAATACTTCATCAGTATTCAGATGCATCTCTCTCCCTTCTGTAAAATGATATAAAGGGGCAACATCTTTCCTAATACGAGAGTTTCTAGTATTAGGAATGTGCGTGTCATATTACACTTTGTTTGCTGTATCTTTTGTGTTCTCCAGGGGACTATTCGACATCTTCATAACTTTATCAACAAGGAGAGAGGGAAGTTTTGGAAGGAGAAGATAGGGTACCCTTTGTACTCCAAATACAATAGGAAAGCCAACAATGTTAATCTCTATTGGTATGATATGGAAACTGCTAACATATTATGATGTTAGTTATACTACAAGGAAGCCAACAGCTAAAACCCTGAACAGATCATACATTTCTATTAATTAATTAGAGACTTTCCGGTTAAAAAGAAATTATTATTCATGCTTATTGGGGCCCAAAGTTGGCTTTAGCACTTTACAAAACCAAGGGAAGATATGACTCTTGCCTCCTAATTAAATTAGCTCTGATATGATGCAGGGAAAATACGACAGTACGGAGGGCAAAGCGGGATAACACGAATAAGGTCACACAGTTACTCAACAGCTAATACATGGCATGATGAAGTTGTTTCTCTTTTTATCACTAAATAGATGTCTGAGTTCCACGTGGGTGTCATGACAAAAGTGTTTGTGAGGAGGGACTTGAATGAGTGGAGGAAAATGCTCGGAAGAGGTAATCAAGGCAACGTGGAAAATGGCTCTAACATAATGGAGGAGGAAGTGATTGAGGTCGACATCACTGACAATAGTGGTTATGCCAGTCACATAGCAGCAGGTCAGTCTCTCTGACTCTAGGGGCTCCTGTTAGAGAACATGGGGGCAGGGCTTCAGAAAAGTAGGTGACAAACCATGAATTCAGATACTTAAAATTGTCCTTCCCTTCTTCGTCACAAATCCCTTATTAGAACTCAACTAACTTTAAAAAAAAAATCCAAGTTTTACTTCTCTGTGTTTATGCTATTTGTCTGATCTAGTATATTTGCATTATTCAAACAGAGAGAAATGCAAAAAGCAAAAAACAGTTTCACTATTATTTCTGGTTAGTTTCATGTTCAGATTCTCAGGCACTGGTTCAATGAGCCAGTTTCTGGGCTTCAAGCATCTTAGGGGTATCACTGGTTAAAGAGAAAACTGTTTCAACTAGAATTAAAACAAAATTCATGGAAACCAGTTTTGTAAAAGCTTGCGTTCACAAAAAACTAATATTTTGAGCCATTTTTGACTTAACAGAATCTCGTTTTCTCTTATTATTGATTTAAATATTTTTCTTTAGCAGGAATTTTTTAGTTAGAAATAAATAACTATATTGGTGTAAGAACTATAACAATTCTGGCTTAGAAAAGCTGATTCAGAAATGTAGCAAACCTTTTTTATGAAGTAATCTTCAACAGCCAATGTAAGGACCACATTAAACATATTCAGTTTCTCCACAAACCCACTTTACATCAGAGGAATTATTATAAGTACCTTTTTCTCATATACGTCTTGCCAAACAATGCCAGAAAAGAATTTGTGTTGCATAATCTCCTTTGCGTCATCAGAGCCACCACCTAACCTGTTTTGGGGCAAAAAAAAAAAAGAACATTTGAGCATATGTAGTTTTCAAATAAGGGTATTACTGAGAAGTGAGGAAGTCATGGGTTATATGGTTAAGTAACCAACAGTTTATCAGTTTCAGGTCTGAGAATGAGCCTTTACCTTGATGCATTTGTTTTGTGTACTAAGACTCATGAATACCGTTTGATTGTCCATTTCAGTCTTCAACATGCTTTCAAAACCTCTAGTGGAACTATTTTTAAGAGATAAATTATCGACACAGAAAAAAATGCATCTAAAATTTGTGCTTCAAAAGATCTGACCTCAAAATGAAGTTCTATTATGTGACTTTAAAAGTGGGTTTCTCCTACGCAACATCTCTGCTCTAATTCATATTTGTTTTAGTGGGAAAAGTAAGTTATTACTTATAACATGCAGAGCTTGTGCATGCCTATGGGAGAGTGAGCTGGATTCTAGTCCTTCTTGTGCATTAAGTTTTACTGTGTTCCAATGACAGGTCCAATCAGTTACACCTGGCAACTAGGAAAAGGGAATGAGGTTTGCTCAGGTGTAAATTAAGGCTAAAATCTGAAAATAATGAGAGTTATACCATAGAAATGAAGAAAGGCAGAATTTGACCTGCACAACCCTAATAATTTGTTGGAAGCATAACTTACAGGCCATCAAAAAACTCTTTGTGGAAATATTTGATATGATTCATAGATTCCAAGGCCAGAAGGGACCACTGTGATCATCTAATCTGACCTCCTGTATAATACAGGTCATAGAACTTCCCCAAAATAATTCCTAGATCAGACCTTTTCGAAAAACATCCAATCTTGATTTAAAAATTGCCAGTAATGGGGAATGCACCACGACCCTTGGTAAATTGTTCCAGTGATTAATTACTCTCACTGTAAAGAAGCTGTTATGGAAGATAATGAAACACAAACACAGAACCCCATGTTGCCATTTTAGTCAACTTTCAGAGAAGAGCTGAAGCTTAAAAATACATTTTGTAACAAGAGTTGAGTGAGCCCTGACTGAGCAAGCCAGCCTTCCTTCTAACTCGGTTACAAGGAGTAGTCACTTCTCAGTGTGCTGGCATATTTTCTTGGAAGCCCAACTCATCTTAACGACCAACAGTGAAAGACATAAGGTTTTTAAAAGAAACTGAATTATGCAACCTGATGTAAACGTAAATTATAAGACGACACTTGGTGCTATGATAACACAAATAAATAATAATATCAAGTTGTACACAAACAGTACCCTCTTTCCTGGATTCAGGGAAACACACTGGGTTTTCTATTGATTTAAATTATATCGAGATGGGGCACTTTTATTACGATAGAGTCTTCACACAGACATGACCCAACGTAATTACAGGTATAAGTTAAAACAACTTAGTTATTTTTGTTCCAGTTAACGTGTAGAGAAGCCCTGAGTCAACAGGAGTTTGAACTTTATTATATGGGTGAAATGCTTTCTCTTAAAGACTGAGCCACATTATCCAAACAATACAAAAAGCATGTTCTTCTGGAACAAAACACACAGAGATCAACAGGCTTCTCGCTCACCTATCACCTTCTGACAGGTGATAGTTGAAATTCACAGATATTAAGGCTGGAAGGTACCATTACAACCATTATGATCATCTAGTCTGACTTCCTGCATATGGCGCCCACCACCATAATTTCTGAGCACCTCATGAACTTTAATAA